AACAGTATTATCTTGATCTATTCAAACCTTATTATAATATTTTAACTGAGGCAGGCTCACCAGCAGGACGTGTTCATTCAGCAGAAACTCTAGTTAAATAAGTAAAGCCATGTTTGGTGTAAATCATTTTAATTACGGTAAATCATTCTCTGAGGAAACTAAAGCTTTAATGAGTATTACTCATACCGGAGAGAAGAGTTCTGTTAGTAAAAGCCCGGGGCCCGCGCACATTGCCGTGGGTGTCGGCTCCGGTATTTGTATATTATAATTCAACTCCAACAATTCTTTCTCATGAGTTTGTTTCATATTCAGAAACTGCAAAACATTTTTCTTGTAGCATAATGACTATCTCTAGACTCCTGGAGGGTGTCGCCCAACGGGGTCGAGCCCAAAGGGCTAGATATGTAAAAAGTGGTTAATTATTTCAAAAACAGTGGATCTTATCTACGTCTAAGAAATAATGATCCCTAATAATAGTAAGGGTCACAATATATTATTATAAATAATTACTTGTTTAGACAGTAAATTTTTACTAAACACCCCCCCCCCCGCCGATCCAAAATCATTTAACATTCCCCCTTTGTTTACCGATTCAAAAAACAGATTAATAAAAATTTTTTTATTAATAGGGCAAGAGGATAAGTATTTAAGAGACCATTAAAAATATTAATATATATCAGTATTGATATGTAAGTAATTTGCAGATAAGAATTATTTCTAAGAGTGGTTTAATTATTCTAAGAGTGGTTCAATTATTCTATGAGTGGTTCAATTATTTTTGGAGATTATTTTCTATTAATACTTGATTTTAGGTTTACACCTGCTGTCTTCCTGCGGGAGGATTAATTTTTAATTCTTTTAAATAGAAAATGCCTTTATTATTACCTTTTGGTTTGATTAAATTATTATCTTTAATTCCAGTTAAAGTTTACCCTAATGCAAGTACTGCTAAATTAGAAATTTTATCTTCTAATAAAGAAAAAACAGCAATATATTTATGGACTCATAAAGAATCCGGTAGTAAATATGTAGGCTCGGCCTTTGATTTGGCTAAACGAATAAATTCCTATTACTCCACATCAGGATTAAAGCAAACAGACTCTTATATTTGTAGAGCTATTTTACATCACACTCATTGTGCATTTTCTTTATCTATACTCGAGTACATTAATGTTTCTAATTTATCGAAAGATCAAGCTCGTTTATTGATTCTATCACGTGAGCAATATTATATTAACTTAATTGAGCCTAAATATAATATTTTAAAAATTGCAGGTTCTTCTTTAGGTTATAAACACACAGAAGAATCTTTTGCTAAATTTAGTGGAGAGAATCATCATCTGTTCGGTAAAAAACACTCCCCTAGTACAATTGTTAAATTAAGCGGGGAAAATAACCATATGTTTGGGAAAAGAGGTGAATTGCACCCAATGTATGGGAAATCTCCTTCTATTGAAACTCGAACTTTAAGTAGAGTTGCACAAGGAACTGATATTTTTGTATTCTCATCAGATGGTACGCTTATAAATAGTTTTTCTTCTGCAAGAGAGGCTGGACTATTTTTTAATTGTTCACACACTACTATTATAAGATATTTGAAAAATAATAAATTGTTTCAAGGTAAATGGATTTTATCTTCATCTTCTACTAGACCTGATAATGATTTTTAGAGGAAAATTAGATATAGTTATTGTAAATACAAAGAATTCCTCCATTCGGAGGAGAGCTCTTCTATTACTAATTTGTGTACTTTGTTAGTTATTCATTACTGAATTATTAAGATAACGTGTTATTAGATTTAGTAATTTACTAAATATTTTAACACCCCCCTGTCGGGTCCATTCGCTGGATATTAATTCCTTTTCAGAATTTATTTTTAATTAAAAATAAGAATCTTAGGAATAAATAATTTAGTAGTTAAACGTTTTGAATTTCTAATCTGCTAAACATAAGTTCAATTCCACTATTATATATTCTAAATAATTGATAAGGAGGTTTCTTCTATCAGCTAAGAAACTGTGATTTTCAATGCAGTAAAGCGGGGGCAGCACCCGTAACCTCTATTAATACCCTAGAATCTCGGAAATTGAAAGAAATTCTCCCTCCGGGCGACCTTTGGGAGACCCCCCTTCGGGTTTGTAAAAAAATTTATACCCCCTGTCGGGTCCCTTTGCTGGATTGAGGGCTTCCCTAGTTTCCGGAGTGGCCCAAATTAATGTTAAAATTAAATGTATGTCATAAAAGTGAACATACATTAATAAAGAGGCTATTAATTTATTATATAAATAAGGGCAAGTGGCTGAGTATGGTTTAAAGCGTTTGGCTTGAAACTAAATATGTGAATAACATGCGGAGGTTCGAATCCTTTCTTGCCCGAAATAAAAATTTACACCCCCCGTGGAATGAATATTATGATAATAAAATATTTTTGAGAAATATCTTTCAGAGAAACTTTTCAGGTCCTATCAAGGACTACTTTATAAGATAAAAAAAGTAATTTAAGAATATTAAAAAGTAATTTAAGAAAATATAATAGTAGTTTAAGAATAAATAATAGTAATAAAACAATAGTAATCAATAAATATTATAAGTATAAATATAACCATAGTAATTAAGAAATATCTTATTAAAAATTATTTTAAAGAAAAGATATAAAAAGACAGACCCACAGGCCGACCTAGCCCTGGTCTATTTATTAGAAATAAAGAAGAGGGAGATTAAGGATAGTTAATATTATTCTTAACATTTTAACTGTTCGGACCTGCCCCACTGGTGAGATCCTCTTTTTTGAATTCCCGGGACCCCTACGGTCAGTTTTTAACCCCAGCCCGCACACTTGCGGGGGGGCTCTCCCCTCCTCTGCATTTCTACAGAGGGAAAGGAAAATATCACCCTCGGCGGGCCCGCATTTTTTTGCGGGGGGGGGATGAGTGGTACTATCCTCCAAGCCTAAGAAGGCTTAGCATAGGCTAGCCTATGTTCAGGGTAGTTCCTCATCACCCCAGAGGTCAACTTTATGAAATAAAGCCTAATCACTCATTTTACCCCTTTATATTAAAGGAACAACTTCTCGTCGGCCCTCCCTCCGTATAAATGCTGGGGGCTGGGTTGTGGGTGATTGGTCATCACCGGCCCGGGCAATAAAATAAGAAAATATTTTCTTGACTTCAACCGAAATTGAACCGGTAATTCAACTGTGAAGGAGTTTTTATTTTGACTTCAACCGGAATCGAACCGGTTACTCAATTGTGAAAGAATTGTATTTTGACTTTAGCCGGAATCGAACCGGCAACTCTACTGTGAAGGAGAGTATTATTATTCTTTTGACTCTAACCGGAATCGAACCGGTAACTTTACTGTGAAGGAGTAATGTCTTAAACCATTTGACCATAGAGCCTTATTATTATATTTTTTATATAGCCTTGTAAGAAATTAAAAAAGGGGGGTGTTAAATTATCTAATAATAATTTTAACTAATTTATAATTTTCAATAATGGCATATTATCCCCTACCATTTATATTGAACTATTTATTTCTTAAATAAAGATAAAAAATATTTTTCTTGAAATATTTTTTGATTTTTTACATATCTTAATATAGTTTTACTATGAGTATTAAAAAATAGTCCAGCTACTCTAGCAGAAGGAAAATTATTAACTAGAGTACCTTGAGTATCATATACAAAAATCGCGGTTCCTCGAGCAATACTCATTTTTGCTCTAGATTCAGCTGAATGAACCTTACCAAAATTTGGATTTTTCTCACCTATTTTAGCTAAATTCATTTTAGCTTTTGTCTTTTCTGAATGAGTTTTACCTTTAAGAGATTCACTAATTTTTAATTTAGTCTCAGCAGAATGAATTAGACCAGATTTAACTTTACTAATTAAAGCTTTAGTGATCTCTGAACGTTTTTGTCCTAAAGAACTACCTGCAATTTTTTGAATATTAAATTTAGGCTCCAGACTATCTAAAAAATGTTGTTCCCGTGAAAGAATCAATTTTTTAGCTTTATCTTTCGATAGATTGGTAATATCTATATATTTTAATATTGATAAACTAAATGAAGAATGACCGTGATGAAGAAGAGCATTACAGATATACATAGTTTTTCACGATTTAAGTAACTTTTATTGAAATAATTCTTTAATCGTTTAGATAAATCAACGGCAGAACCAATATAAATTTTACCTGATTCTAAATGAGTCCATTGGTATATACCAGTTTTCTCTTTGTTATCCGATAAAATTATTGATTTATCAGTTTCCGCATTAATATAAACAATAACTGTTGTAGCTAAAACACTATCTTGAAAAGAAAAATCCCGGGGCCGCGCACGTTGTCGCGGGTGCCGGCTCCGGATGATGATAATAATATATCATCCGTTTGAGAAATTTGTGTTGGTTGAAATAACCCACCTAATATTTCTGAGCCAATAATAAAATCACCAAATAGAAATATTAGAGGAGCAAATCCCCCCCCCCCTCCGGGCGACCCGAGACCCCCCCTTCGGGTCTGTGAATTAAGATTGTTGACGGATGTTGATAAGCTAGTGGTATCGTTACTACTAAAATTATAAGTTCTAATATTAACATTTAATTATTAATCTAGGGTATCAGACTTGAACAAATTATATAAATAAATTACAAATTATAAATGAAAATGTTTTTGACTATCCTATTATATATACGTGAAGTTAGTTAGTCCTATGATAGAAGATTCTTAATAAAATAAAATATATTAATATTGAATATTCTTAATATTAATATTGAATATTCTTAATATAATTATTTATTCTTAATATAATTAGAATAATGGGCCCTTAAAGAAGAAGCCCATCGATTACAGGGGGGTGTTAACTGATTGTACAGGTAATTGACCTTCAAATGCATGGAACGCTGGAGGAGACGTGATAGCCCACTCTAACGTTGTAGCAGTTTTCGTAATACCGGCTCCTCGCGGAGAAGTAAAGAAAGCTGGTACTGCCCATGGATCGTTTGCTAAAGTATCTTCAGGTTGTGCTAAAGTATCATAAATAATATAAATAAATAATACAGTAGCAACAATAGAGATAATTGAACCAAAAGATGAAACTAAGTTCCATCCTTCGAAAGAATCCGGGTAATCCGGGATTCTACGCGGCATCCCCGCGAGACCTAAGAAATGTTGTGGCATAAACGTTAAGTTTACACCTATTGATAATGACCAAAAATGTATTTGTCCTAGTAATTCGTTATATGGTTTACCTAATATTTTAGCTGGAACCCAGTAATAATAAGCGGCAAATAACGCATATACTGCACCTAAAGATAATACATAATGGAAATGAGCTACTACATAATAAGTATCATGTAAAGCAACATCGATAGAAGCGTTAGCTAATACGATACCAGTTACTCCTCCAATAGTGAATAAGAAAATGACTTTTTTTTTTGAACTCTTTTTTAACATATTTAATTTTATAAAAAGGGGGGGGAGTTTATTATTTAATTAGAATTATAATAACTATTGATTTTTATTGTTTAATATACCTATTCACCTTTTCTTCTTTATAGCTACTTATTACTAAATAGTCCTACCTATCTTGAAGCTGAACCATTCTATTTCTAATAAAATGAAGGGTTTAATTAATAAATAATAATTAAATAAAAGAGTTTTGGGTTTTACCCCCAACGTTCTCACGTTGGAAAGGACTATATCATCACTTATTTTTATACAATTTAAGTGTTGCACGTGTAGTCTCTGAGGATCCTACTAAAATAATTGTCTATTTTATTGGTTTCCTGCTGATTGTCCAATCTTTAAGATTTTTACTGATTGTAAATCTAGATTTTTATAAAAATCATGATCCCCCCGGGACCCGGGGATCTAGTACTTAAAGCTCTAAGGGGTTTCCAGCATATAGTGCAATTTTCCAATAAATTAATTTATTGGGGACTCATTTTGAATCCTAAAGCAAATAACATTGGAGTAGTAAATCTAATAGATCCACCGGCTAATGTAGCTAACCAAGAGAAGATTTTAATCCCTGTTGGAACAGCAATAATCATTGTAGCAGCAGTGAAATAAGCTCGAGTATCTACATCAAGACCAACACTATACATATGATGCAAATTGTAATATTAATGATAATATTACGCCACTCTCTTGAGTGGGATCGGACTATATCTTAATCTTTTAATTTTTAAATAAAAAACATTTGTCCATAAGATAAAACATAACTATCTTATATTTAAATTATCTAGTAGAAGAAGAACCTGTTTTACGAGTTAAACTATTATTAAGATTAATAGTTTTTTTTATTTCTCTAATTTTAGATAATCCTTCATCTGTTAAATGTTCTTTATTTAAAAGCATATTATAAACTTTAGACCAGTTAAAAAAAGAAATTTGTTTTTTAGTTTTAAGAGGATATTTATTAAAATAACTAGTTATAGGATCAAGACCTTTAAATGAATCTACACTATAACGATAAACATCTTGAGTTCCAGATCGTAAAGAAACTCTTCCAAACCTAAATAAATAACATATAATTTTTAATAATTCAAAAGCATTTTTTTGATCTAAAAAAAATCTTGGGGTTACTCTATATCCTGTAACAGTATCTTTACGTGCTGTAATGTTGATATTAAAACAACCTTCTGCATCAGTAAATCCTGAAATCCAAGGGTCATTAAGAGTAGGTAATACTATATTATTTGATAATAATAATTGAAAACCATTTTCTTTATTCATTTTTTTTGAATTAAAGGCATTAATCCATGATTCAAGTTGAGCTTGTCGATGTTTAAGTATTAAATTACCATTAAAAAGATGGATTAAAATTAAAATATTTTCATTGTCATCAACTATAAATCGATGAAATTCATTATTTAATTTTGCTGAAGTAAAATGTTTTATTCTACCAAAACCTAAATTATCTTTTATCTCATCAAGAATCTTTTTTTCTTTTTGAGTAACAACAAATTGTAATTTATTATTAAAAGTTAAAATAGCTCCATCTCCTTCTACAAATCCTATAAACCAAACTAACCAATTTTGGTCAATTTCTTTATCTCCAAATTTATTTTTATAAATTGAATTAAATTTATTAAAATTAAAAGATTTCACGCGTGTAGTCTCTGAGGCACTCGTTGAGTATAATTTATATACATTCAAAATACGATTCCCTGCTGATTGAGTATAACTACCTTTAAATTTTGAAAAATTATAAGGCTCCTTTGAGGAAATAGGATTTTTACTATAGAAAGTACCTACTAGCATAAAACTGTTCCAGCATACAGCGTGATTTATTACCCCTACTTCACAGTAAGGGAGAGCCATCATAATGTAACTCCATACGATAAATCCTAATACACCAATTGATAACATAGCATAGACCATACCCATGTAACCAAAGATTGGTTTACCACAGAATGTTGAAATTACATGGCTAATAATTCCAAATCCAGGGATAATTAAAATATAAACTTCAGGATGACCGAAGAACCAGAAAAGATGTTGGTATAATAATGGATCACCACCACCAGCTGGTTCGTAGAAAGAAGTGTTAAAGTTTCTATCTGTTAATAACATTGTAATTGCCAATTTTTTCTTAATTTACTGGACATAGATCCTATGACTACAAATAATATTAATTTTATCTAGCTTTTATTTGTAAAAATAAAAGTATAAAAGTAAGAAGGCTATCATTAAAACGAATAATCCAATTGCTTCAGTTAATGCAAATCCTTAAATTGTATAATTATTTTATAAACTTATTTAATAAAAATAATAATTATTTGGTCTCAAAAACATACACAAAAAATGTGAAAGTTTAAGGTAAATATCCCACGCTCGCGCATGGGTTGGGACTATATCTTACTTATCTAAGTTGTAAAAATTGTTTATGTGATCCCAATTAAAAACTGTTCTTCTATCATTCATACCTGATTTAATAGAAATAATGTTTTCGATATTTGAATAATGATCATTTAATTTAAAATAATCTAAAACCTTTATCCAATCTTTATAATCTAAATATTTACTACTAAATAAAGTAAAATTATTTAAATAATTTTCTAGAGATAAATTTCCTTTTAAATTAGTAGTTCTAATTCTATATTGTGGATGAGGTTTATCTATTCTAATTTCTTTAACTGAAGTATGAATTAATTCAGCTATAGATTCTAAGAATTTACGATTATTTAAACCATTATGATTATTTTGTCTTTGACTTAATTCAAATTTACATTCTACTTTAGGGTATTTAGATACTGTTGTAGCCCGTATAGAAAAACTTCCATCAGCTTCAATAAACCCAGATAACCATGGATTAGAATTTAAAGGACTATCATCTATAGGATTTTTAACCATATTAAGGTCTTTAAATCTTAAATTTAACCAATCAATTAAATTT